TGCCTGTAATCCCAGCACTTTGGGAGGCCAAGGTGAGCGTGGAACACTTGAGGTCAGGAGTTCAAGAACAGCCTGGCCAACAAGGTGAAACTCTGTTTTTACAAAAAAAAAAAATACAAAAATTAGCCAGGCATGGTGGTGCATGCCTTATAATCGCAGCTACTAGGGAAACTGAGGCAGGAGAATTGCTTGAACCCAGGAGGCAGAGGATGCAGTGAGCTGAGATCATGCCATTGCATTCCAGACTGGGCAACACGAGCGAAATTCCATCTCAAAACAAAAAGAAAAAAAAAAACTCAAACCACCAAAACCCCTGAATTTCCCTGTGGACACCTTTTCTCTGGCAGCCTTTTTCAATGAGGGCTATGTTTCCTCCAATACTATATGGCCTGCAGACTGCTCAGCTTTCATTCCAGTGAAAACATTCCAGAACAAGCTCTGGGTCAATCCCAGGTCTTTCTCCAATCAACTCAGGGCATGATTGTGTGTCACCTGCTGCCCAGCTAGAGTGACAGGACTCCACCATGTGACTCCACTGTAGACTCCCCGCCTTCTTCTTTTGCAAAGCCTCAGACACCCAAATGCCTACCAAAAGTGGGTAGGGCGCCAGGACACCTCCAAGCATAAGTGGGGCTCCCCGACATGCCTGGATGTGGAGGTGTGATGCAGACTGGTGGCTGCTCGTGACAATCTCACCCCTTTGTGTGCAGCTGCTGGAAGCCCAGGAAGCACACATCAAGGCTCCCTTGCCAGCGGGGTGCTGCCAATAAAATGGAGTCACGTGGGATTTGGAATGTGGAAAGGAGGTAGAAGTCATCATTTCCTCCCTCATAGCAGCAGGCGTGCAGGCTCTGGTCAGCTGGACTCCATACTCCCCCACTAGTCACCAGCCTGGGGACCGTGGGGCTGCAAGGACCTCAGCAGCGGTTTCCCGAGTTTCCTGACATTTTCCATCCTCTGGAAATCAGCTGTGATCAAGCAGCCTGAAAGCCAGGGGTGCAACCTCCTCCTCCCCAACCTTCACCACCTCTAGCCCCTCCAGTGATAAGCACTAATTGCCTATATACAACCCTTTTTTGTTTGAAATAGCTAGGGTAACTTCTGTTTTCCTATCTGGGGTAGTGTAACATAAGAAGAAATATATATATGGTCTCTGCCCCCAGTTCCTAACACAAAGCTCCTAAGACCCTTGGAAATTCCTGAATGATGGGGGTGCTAGGAGCATTGTCTTCTTTTTTTAAAAAAATGTATCATTTTTCTTTTCTCCCAGGGTTTTTTTTCTTTAAAAAAAAAAAAAACTTTTAGGTTATGGGAACACATGTGCACGTTCGTTATATAGGTAAAATTGTGTCACAGCAGTTTATTGTACACGTTATTTCGTCACCCAGCTACTAAGCCTAGTCCCCAATAGTTTTTTCTGCTCCTCTCCCTCCTCCCACCCTCCACCCTCAGGTACGGCCTAGTGTGTGTTGGTCCCTTCTTTGTATTTGAGTTCTCATCATTTTGCTCCTACTTGTAAGAACATGCAGTGTTTGGTTTTCTGTTCCTGTCTTAATTTGCTGAGGATAATGGCCTCCAGCTCCATCCGTGTTCCTGTGAAAGACATGATCTCGCTGTTTTTTATGGTTGCACATCTTTTATTCTAACATTTGGTCCTTGAACCTGGTTCCTGACACAGAGCTCCTAAATCCCTTGGAATTTTCTGAGTGATGGGAGCGTCCTTTGTTCTCATGAGGTGACTCTTGGTGGGCTCTTTATTTGGGTCTGGTCACCAGAAAGATCTAACTATGGGTGGAAGCTTTGTGCTTTCAGCCCAATTCCCCAGCCTCTGGGGTAGGGAATGGAGCTGGAGCTCAATCACACCTGCGTGACAAAGCCTCCAGAATAATCCTTAAAAGACAGGCCTTGGAGAGCTTCCGGGTTGGCGAACGCATCCATGTGCCGGGAGGGTGGTGCACCCCAACTCCACAAGGACCTTTCCAGACCTCACCCTGTGTATCTCTTCATCGGGCTGTTCATTCGTGTCCTTTAAAATATCCTTTGTAATAAATCAGCAATAGTAAGAAAACTGTTTTCCTGGGTTCCGTGAGCTGTTCTAGCAAATGTTCAAACCTGAGGAGGGAGCTGTTGGGACCTCGTTTATAGCCAGCTGGTCAGATGCATAGGTGATGCTTGGCTTTGCACCTGGGGTCTGATGTGGGGGCGGTCCTGTGTGACTGAGCCCTTAACCTGTGGAGTCTGGTGTTCACTCTGCTTAGGGCTTCTCTGCCTTGGTAGCGTCCTGTCAGAAGGCCTTTCCTTCCTCTTGTCAGCTCAGAAAACTTTTCTTCCACTTCCCTTCTTCTAAGCCATCCCTTACATCTACTCCTTTCCAGCCGACCAAGAGAAGAACCAGGGCTGGCTCCACTGCCACCGTGCCGTCCCACACTGTCTCCTCAGGATGTATTCAGATGTCCGGCCCTCCCCCGAGTCTAGGAGCCCTTTGAGGAAAGGGATGCTGTCCTAGTCAACTCTTTCCCAGCACCAGGCACAGCGTCTGGCACGTTCCATCTTTTTCATGGACTCTCCCCAGGTGGCCTGACCTTCCCTCCTCTGAACCGCTGCATTTCCTGTCTGCATCATGTTTGCTCTAATCAGATATCGCCTTATTTCATCCTCTTTTAAAAATGCTTTATTTCTCTGGCAGGTTTCATTGGAATCAGAATTTTAGTTCATTTAGTAGCTGCTGGCCTTGTGTCTACCTCTCTCTTGCACTCAGGTCTCACTTAAGACCTGGCTGACTGAGCTGTGATTTGCCATCAGTGAGATGGAGACAGAGGTAGCCCAGGCAGTCATGTTTTGTTCCACGAGACCCTGGGCGCCCCTCCCCCTCCCAGGCTACAGGCAGGGATGGGCACCAGCCTGGGAGAGACAGTTTATGCACAGGCTGGCCCAGCAGAAACTCTGGACTTACACAAAACTGCTCAATTGAGGACAAACTGCGGGCAAGGTAGAATCTTATTTTGGGAGTCTTTAGAAATATGGTGGGGTAGCATTTGGGAATAATAAGAATTGTAGCTGGCATGGTGGTACACGCCTGTAGACCCCCAGCTACTCTGGAGGCTGAGGTAGGATCTTTTGAGCCCAAGAGCTTGAGGCTGCAGTGAGCTATGAATGCACCACTACAGTCCAGCCTGGGTGACAGATCAAGACCCTCTCTGAAAAAAAAAAAAATACATTTGAGATTCATAAATTTTTTGGTTATATAAAAAAATTATAAGCATCAAAGTGTGAAATTATGTAAATATGCCAAAATAGGAACCTGGAAGTGCTTGGAATCTAGACTTCGGGAGCCCAGCACTTCAAGGATCTCTAGTCTTGGCTTTTTTTTTTCTTGAGATGGACTCTCGCTCTGTTACCCAGGCTGGTGTGCAGTGGCCCAATCTGAGCTCACTGCAACCTCTGCCTCCCAGATTCAAGCAATTCTCCCTCCCTCAGCTTCCTGAGTAACTGGGATTACAGGCGTGCATCACCACCTCCAGCTAATTTTTGTATTTTTTTAGTAGAGACAGGGTTTTTCCATGTTGTCCAGGGTGGTGTTGAACCCCTGACCTCAGGCGGTTCACCTGCCTCAGCCTCCCAAAGTGCTGGGATTACAGGCATGAGCCACTGCACCCGGCCCTGTCAGATGATGAATTTTTTTTTTTTTTTTTTGAGACAGTCTCGCTGTGTTGCCCAGGCTGGAAGTGCAGTGGCGTGATCTTGGCTCACTGCAAGCTCTACCTCCCGGGTTCACGCCATTCTCCTGCCTCAGCCTCCCGAGTAGCTGGGACTACAGGCTCCCGCCACCATGCCCGGCTAAGTTTTTTTTGTATTTTTAGTAGAGACGGGGTTTCACCGTGTTAGCCAGGATGGTCTCCATCTCCTGACCTTGTGATCCGACCGACCACCTCGGCCTCCCCAAGTGTCAGGTGATTTAAAAACTATTCTTCCATGAATTGCTGGGCTAATTGATATGACTGTAAAATGCCTAACCCAGGTTTAGCATCAAGTAAGCAAATTGTAACTGTTAGCTGCTGCTCTGCCTATGACTATTTAGTCTTGTGCTTTAAACTCAAATATTTGTTGGCCCACTGAAGTCACTACACAGAGAAAGATGCTTTTCATTCTCAGTAACGAACTTTGGGAGATAACTGGGGCAGGCAGCTAGACAACAGGTGTCTTTTGTCCAGCATCAGCAAACTCATTGGAACTGATGGGTGGCTCACTTTGCTTAGAACCCCTACCAGCACGCACACGGGGCTGCTTCCCAGTCACACTGCTCCTGGGAAGGTGGGGGGCAGCTGTTCTGCAGTTAGCGCCGTTCTTTACCTCCTGTTACCAACCGCCTGAGTTCATCTGTGTTCAGTTAGGTAGATTACCATTCCTGTTCATTCAGATTTTCTTCTGCTCACTAATGTGTTTAATGTTCCCTAACCTACCAAAGGTGATTGGTGACTTTTTCTTTGAAGGTGGACTGGAGGAATCCTTGCGCCTTCTGCAGCATTCTACTGCCATTGTGAAACAGTGCGGCTATGGATGTGCATCAGCGGGGGATGGGGAGAGGCTGGGGCAGTACATGTAAATGGAGAGGTAGCCCCACCCAGTGTGTTTTCTGAAATACAGTCCCGCGGAGGGCAGTCTTGGGAAATTACTGCTCTCACATACTCTTCCTGACCTTACCCCTCCAGCATCTCCCTGCTATCCAAGGGTTGGGATTTTTAAAAAGAAAAACAAATTTTTAAAAAACCAAGTGAACCTTTTGCCATCTTGTAAGGGTGAAAAGCTCCCACCAAGTCTGGATGAACATTCATGCGTGGGCTTGAGGGCTTGGGAAAAAGATGGGGCTTGGCCCCACAGTGCAGGCAGGCCCAGTGATCCTATGAGAGAGGCCAGGAGGTGGGAGGTCGCCTGTGGGCAGGAGGTCAAGTACGTGGTATTTTATGACTGGTGCTTGATGAACCAAGGGAGAGGGCACCGAGAACAAGAGAACAACAGTATTTAATTGTAAAATCTCCACCCCTGAGGATATGTTTTCAGGTCTGGGTGACTAATAAGACTGGGAAACAAGGGAGGGAACGACGGCGCTGTGCTTCCTCTGCCCGCTGCCTCTGTGGATGCGTGGACCGCTGGCTTCAGTCCTGCTTTTCTTTCTGATGGCCCTTGTTGTTTATGCTATGTATTTTTGCAGGAGGCCTGAGGCGGGCTGGGGTCACTCTTTCTCCTCCTATGACTGGGCTTCACTCTCCTCCCCCATCTCTGTTGGGGCTTCGCTGTCCCTGGGGTAAGAATAACAATGCCAAGGTTTTGATTCTTGAAAGGAGCAATTAAGCTTCTCACCCCCTCCTCATTTTAGTTGGGAACTGTGAGGGCCCCTCATTTACCCAGGTTCCCTGCTGAGGATCTCCTCCTCATTAGATGACTTCTTGTGCAGCTTCTCTGCCTGGTTATTTACTCTTGTGGCACTGAGAGGTTTGTACATATCTTTAAGCCACAGCGGCTGTCTGAATGAGAAAGCTCCATCCTAGAAGATAGAAAGGGAAGTATTAATTTTGCATGTCCTGGGCTTTCCCTGGCCACAGCAATGAATCCTCCAAAGTACCTGAGTCTCACTTGGCGAACAGCATCTCCTACATGGCAGAAATCTGAAAATGCCCCTGGGGAGACACATGCACAAGATAGTGAGTGATGCTGCCATTTCCCACGTCTCTCACAATGTACTTCTCTGGTCTTATTAGGACTAAATGAGTACCTCAGTCCATAATCACAGTGAGAAGAACCACCGCAGACCACATACCTGGGGTCCTGAAAATAATCCCATACATGTGGGACTTTCAGAAACTCTCCATGTCTGTTCAGAAGGGCCCCACAATATACCGGGGGGACTTTGTATGCGGCTCAGCATGGAGCATTGGCAGGATGTTCAGTCCCAGTCACCCCCTTGGCCAAGTGCCCTTGTGCAGTGAATAAACTGCACAGCCATGCTGGGCAGAAGCATTTTATATCAGTCCCCTTCAGACTTAGTCTCACAGGCATCGTTTGATGGGGGGTGGGAGATGAAGTGGTTCTTTTCTTTCTAGATACTTTATTCTATAAGTTGCATCACCTCAAGCAAATGCCTGAGTGCAGGTAGCCAAGTTATCTATCTCACAGTCTTCATATGGCTGGCTGTCGCTGGTGAGTGAGTGAGCTGTGAAATCAGTTTAAAGGACAACATATTCTTTTTGAATTTGAATAAAATAGAAAAAGCCAGAGTGCATTGTGTGACCATGGGGCAATTCTCCCTTTCTCTTTCTCAGTTTTCCTGTCATAAAACGATGAAATACTGTCTAAGGTCTCTCGTAGTTAAAATTCTTTGGTTTGTTGTTTTTTTATTTGAGACAGTTTTGCTCTTGTTCCCCAGGCTGGGTGCAATGGTGCGATCTTGGCTCACTGCAACCTCCGCCTCCTGGGTTCAAGCAATTCTCCTGCCTCAGCCTCCTGAGTAGCTGGGATTACAGGTCTGCGCCACCACGCCCAGCTAATTTTGTATTTTCAGTGGAGATTAGTAGAGATGGGGTTTCACCATGTTGATGAGGCTGGTCTCGAACTCCTAACCTCAAGTGATCCACCTCGGCCTCCCAAAGTGCTGGGATTACAGGTGTGAGCCATCCTGCCTGGCCTTTCTAGTTAAAATTCTGTGAGGTTTGCATAAAAGGAATAGAGTGGGGCCCAAAAATCAGTAAGATGAGAAAATAGTGTTTCCTCACTTCTAGGATCCAGGCAAAAAAAAAAAAAGAAATAAATAAAAAAGAGAAAGTAGTGTTTCCTGTCACTTTCGAGGAAGGACTCACATATTCTACCTTCCATCAGCTTTGAAGGAGACGAGTGCCCTCACTCCCACACCCGGTGGCCTTCCTTACCCCTTCCCCAGAGCCTCCAAGAAGACCCTGGCCTGGCCTGATGCCCACCGTCAGCAGGAACAGGCACCAAAACCTTTCCCCTTCCTGTCCCTCCCCACAGGGCTGGGGACAACAGATGTGTCCTTGTTAGTTCCATCCAGCTCAGCTTTTGGCTGGGGAGCTAATTTCACTGGAGCCAGGCTAAGCATGAGGGTAACTAAGTATTTGTCCTGTCTTGGGCAGTTTCCTCACTGAAAAATGAGGGCAGAGTTCTAAGCTCTCCTCTAATTCTAAAATTCTAATTAAAATCACAAGACTAGTGACGGCGCATGCCTGTAATCCCAGCTACTCGGGAGGCTGAGGCAGGAGAATCGCTTGAACCTGGGAAGTGGAGGTTGTGGTGAGCTGAGATCGCGCCACTGCACTCCAGCCTGGCAACAAGAGGGAAACTCCGTCTCAAAAGAAAAAAAAAAAAATTACCAGACTAATATTTACCTTGAGACTCCTTCTTCATCTTCTTGTGATGACCTTCGGTGAGAATAAATCTGTTTTGGAAGAAAATGCAATTAAGATTATCCATCACACAACCATCTCCAAATCTGTATTCATTCCTTTTATTCATTATAAATCTCATCTACCTGAGGAGATAACTTGTTTGAAGACAGGAATTGTATGCTGTTTAACAGAGCTTTGATTCTTCCACAGTTCAGTCATCCTTGCTATCTTGCGGGGGACTGGTTCTAGGATACCGCCCCCACACCATACCAGAATCTGTGGATGCTCAATCCCTTACATATAATGGTGCAGTATTTGCATATAACCAACACACATCCCCCCATATTTACTTAGCGACAGGATTGCCCTCTGTTGCTCAGGCTGGAGTGCAGTGTCACAATCACAGCTCGCTGCAGCCTCAACCTCCTGGGCTCCAGTGATCTGCCCACCTCAGCCTCTTGAGTGGCTGGGACTACAGATGTATATCACCAAACCTATTTTTTTTTTTTTTTTTTTTAGTAAAGACAAGGTCTCACTATGCTGCCCAGGTTGGCCTCCCAATGTGCTGGGATTATAAGTGTGATCCACCATGCCTTGCCCCATGTACTTTAAGTCATCACTAATAAAATGTGTAGATATTGGACAGCGGTGACAGCTGTTATATTGTAGTTTCTATTTGTATTTTTTTTTTCCCTTCAGATATTCAGCCTCATCTAGTTGAATGTGAAGATGTGGACATGCTGATGAAGAGGCTGACTGTATCTAACTTAGGGTCTTGCAGGCAGCTAGCACTTAATACATTTTATTGACTGTTTTAGATAACATTCAACAGATAATTCCTAATAAAAACTCTTAAAAGTAGGAGAAAAAGAAAACTTCAGTCCTTCCTCTGAAGTGGCAGGAAAACCAGCCTGGGCAACATAGCAAGACCTTCTCTCTACAAACAAATTGTTTAAATTAGCTGCCTGCCTGTAGTCCTAGCCACTCAGGAAGCTGAGGCAGGAGGATCCCTTAAGCACAGGAGATTGAGGTTACAGTGAGATAGAGCACACCATTGCTGTCCAGCCAGGGTGACAACAAGGCCCTAAGAAGGGGGAAAAAAAAAAAAAAGGAAAGGGGAAAGGAAGGAAGAGTAGAAGTATTGGAAAGGAACAGACAAAACTATCATTATTTGCATATTAGATGATAAATGTTATTAGCTAAAGAAGCCTAAGAGAATCAACTAAGATTTTACTGGAAGTAATAAGAATTCAATAGGAAAGATCCCATTTACAATGGCAATACAAATGTATGAAGTATTTAGAACAAAACTGCAAAGATCTTTTATCTAACAAAAGATGTGTAAGATCTATATATGGAAACACTAAAGTTCTTCTGAAAGACATTAACAAGAAATGAATACAGGACGTGAGATAGCACGTTCCTAGAATGTCGTACAGATGTCAATTCTCAAATTAATCTACAAATTTAATGTAATCCTGTTCAAATCCCAAGATAGTTTTTGGTGGCAGCTGTTTGTGAGACAGGGTCTCGCTGTTGCCCAGGCTAGAGTGCAGTGGTATGACCACAGTTCACTGCATCCTCAACCTCCCAGGCTCAAGCAATCCTCCCACTTCAGCCTCTGAAGTCTCTCATGTGGTGTCCAAGAAATGGTGACAAATCTCACAAAGGGACTAGGCTCAGGAGGGCTGGAATATTCAGGGAAGGTGTCAAGAAGATGAACCTGAGTTGGCTTTTGAGAGATTCATAGGATTCCCACAGGCAGAGTGAAATAAGGGCATTTTAGATGGACAAATGCACAAAAGCAGAAATGCGGATGGTGTGACTGGGGTATGGGTGAGGGGCTGCTCTGGCTGGAATGGAGGGCTGCCACAATAATGGAAATGGTAAATGAGGCAAGTAAGGTTGGATTGGTAGCATAGTGTCAAGGTTGCCAGTTTATTAAATCACTCTTCCAATATGCTAGCAGTGGCCTCTTGGGGATCATGTAATCGAACAAAAGGCGAACAGAGGCAAGCTCCAGGAATGGGCACTGTGAACAGGACTCGCCCCAGAGTAGCCAGATGTAGGCTTTAGACATTTTAATGCAGGTTGAGCATCTCTGATCCGAGGGGGAATGTCTCACATGGTCTCCAAGAAATGGTGACACATCTCACAGAGGGCCTAGGCTCAGGAGGCCTGGAGCATGAAATGCTCCCCGTCCCCTGTGAACTTAAAAATGTGGCCATCAACTTTTTTAAAAGATGGCTACTCTGTAGTGCTTTAACTGGACCTATTTAGACAATGCCTTACACACTGGAAAAGGATGATACTGTGTGAACCTAATAAGTCTACAAGACAATACTTCTCTCTTTTGGCTGTCTCCTTCCTCTCCAGGGTGATGACAACTCTGTGAGGTGGAGATTATACGTCTCTCATCCTTTCAGCAACAAGGAAATAAATTAGTGGCAGAGTAAGGGGTGACTTGGTGAGTATATCCAATTGTTGACATCGTTTTGGGTGGGAAAATTTTGCTATTATATCAACTTCTTAAAATAGTCTAGTGGGATTAACTTGGTTTCAATTCACAGAGACCTCCTGGAAGCGAGGATCCTTTAAAATCCTGGAATATACACTGCAGTAAAAGAACAAAGCGTACGTCAGCCTTAACCGACTGAAGAATGTCAAGTAGCAGCAGGTGGGAAAGCAGCTTTGGTTTTGAGTTTGTGGGCTCTGAATCCACACAAAGACAGGACTGCATTCTGAAAACCTGAATTAATTGTTGTCCTTACCTGAATGAGGCAGAAAATTATAATCAAAGTCGTTAGTATTTCGGTCACAAATAATGCCAAGATGAGTTTGTTGTTATAGCCATATCCTGGAACTTCTTTTGTGAGCTAAAAAAAAAAAAAAAAGAAAAGAAAAGAACAATTAAAAAAAAAAAAGAGAGAGCTAACTATTCAAAACCCCAGTATTTCAGGTGAGTAGCTTACAGGTTCTTTTTTTATTTTTTTGAGACAGAGTCTCACTCTGTCACCTAGTCTGGAGTACAGTGGTGTGAACACAGTTCACTAGACTCGACCTCCCTGGGCTCAGGTGATCCTCCCACCTCAACCTCCCGAGTAGCTGGGACTACAGGCACTTGTCATCACCCCAGCTAATTTTTTAATTTTTGTGGAGACAGGGTTTCACTGTGTTGGCCAAGCTGCTCTCAAACTCCTGACCTCAAGTGATCCACCCACCTGGCCTCCCAAAGTGCTGGGATTACAGGCGTGAGCCACCCCACCTCACCTACAATTCATCTTGTGCACTAATCTATTTCACCCTCTACATGAGCAAAGTGGGAGATCACCGTCATGGCCGAAGTTACATGACCAGGACAAGCTATGGCCTGGGAGTCCCAGGTTCTCCTGTGTGGGCACTTTCCTGGCATACACTAAATGATGACAAATCTGGGTCTCATGTTTCTGTGTGGTCCTCACCTCACTCAACCTCTGCTCTTTCTGTTCACTCTGGGCTTCCGTGCTCTCATTGATATAGTTCTCAGTTTTCCATTGTTCCGTATCCCATTCAGCCTTGGACGCCTTTACTTCCTGCTGCTCACTGAGAAGCTTCATCAGGAGGCCTGTCCTGGAGATGAGCTTGGCACAGGTCACTTGCACACGGGTGTCAGAGCAGTCTGTCTTCAAGGTCCGGATAACATGAGAAATGAGTTTTCTCACATTGTTGTTGGGGATGAGGGAACGTAGCTGCTCGGTTAGCTGATTTTCAAACTGATCACCTGCAGACGAGAGCAAAGGGTAATTGAAGCTTTTGGGCTCGGAGGACAGGTCAGTGCCCATGTTGTTGTATTCCCATTGTGTCTGATTAGTTCGTTTAACAGCTGGCCCTAAGTTGAACGCAGTCCCAGCGGAATCTGCCTCAGGAGGAGGATTGTAGGTTGTGTTTTCAGAGATGGTGCCTTCTGGCATAGTAGTGTTTTCCATAGAAATGTTTTCTTCAAAGGCATTTCTTGCAGTTGTGTCTTTTACATTAGTGTTTTCTGTAAAACGTTCTGAAGGAGCAAATCCTTCCAGAAAAGGATTTTCCTGAGGACTTGGGTCTCCTAATGATGAAAAAGCCCCTTGTGAAGGGGAATTTATGAGGCTGTTCACTGCAGAGAATGGCGGCCTGTTTGCGAGCATCAGTCTATCGAGGTAACTTTTCTTTCTGAACTTTTGACTCTTTTTGGCCTTGAGTGTTCTGTGGGCCACGCGGGAGCGAGTTTTATGATAGCGGTAGTTTTTTCTGGAATGTATGATTGGTTTAGCAGCCTTCATACTTTTAACTCTAGCCTTTGCGTTTTCTAAAATGAAAATGGCGTGGGTTAAGTCTTTCGATCTGTCTCTGACCTCAGGTAGGGCTTTTGCAGGGGTGGAGGCAGAAGGCTCGCCCATGGAGAAGGGTTTCAGCACAGAAGACACTGCTGCGTTAAGCTCTTGGGTGAACGAAGGCTTGGTGTAGACGGTGTTTCCCACTAACTTCTCACGCCCCTGCTCTGTGTGAGGCTGTTCCAGCTCCCTTGAGACCGGGCTCCCGAGCCTTTTTTCTTGGGCAGCGCTCTCCACAAATGCCTGCGCACCCTCTTCCCTCCTGGTGCTCTGCTTTCCCACCTCTTTGAAGTGCCTTTTCTGGATGCTCCTTGGGCCCGTGAGGACTCTGTTCACTCTCTGCAGGTTGTTGCCTACACTTTGAATCTTTGCCAGGCTGTTTTCCTGTGGTTGGACAGTTTCTAATTTCTTTTCAAATATTTGGCGTTTAAATTTGTTACCTAGAAGGCTGGTCTGCATAAGCATGGCAGTTTTTTCTTCCCTTTTAACTTCATCGATTTTTTCCTGTATTTCTGCATCTAACATATTTTCCAGCAAGTACAGCTTTCTCAATTTATTTTCATAAATTTCGTAAGTTGAGTTGTCCGATGCAGGTTGAAGAGAGGGGCTCTTTATATTGTTTTTCAAAATACCCAGGGGCCTATCTCCATCTTGCACATTTGAAGAAAGCTGTTTAATGAACGGTAACAACATTGATTTCACATCTAGATTTACCACTGAGAAATAAGGCAAGATGTAACTTAGTGCACTGATAACTTCACTCTCGTCATTGGTGTCTAGCTGCTCACTCCCAAAGCCTGACAAGTTGATGTCACTGCTGTCTGAGGGCACCTCCGGCTCAATAGTCAGCTCAGTGCTCGTGTGCTTCTTCCGGGCCTGTAACACCTTCATGAACTCTCCTTCTGGATTCCCTACAGATGCTTCTTCAGCTGTGAAAAAAGAAGAGACTGTTTTGATCATGAAAGATGACGGGACGGCATGCATCAGTCCACAGCTGTATGTCCCCAGTCACACAGAGTAGGAGTCAGCAAACATTCGAGTGCCATTCAGAGAGGAGAAACACACACCCAATCCTAAACCTACAAAATGGCAACAACAAAAGGAGAAAAGACATCTTTTGAAAACATGGCCACCTACTTGGAACATTCCATTGTGTGACATAGAGTAAGTCTGCTTAGGATTATTCCATTGATCCACAAGGGCCAGTTAAAAATGCTCAGTCTAAGCCCAAGATGGAAGACAACTCCTTCCCTGATGAGCTGGCCTCTCTGCAGACTGCTCCATACCCTGTGCTGTCCTGCCTCACATGCAGAGAGAGTACAAGGCTCCCTCTCTCCTTGTCCTCGGTGTGCCTGTGTTCTTGCTACCATCACAGCTGAATGCAGTGAAAGGCGGTCCTCTGAGAGGAGCAGGGTGGAGATGCTAAAGTGGAGAGCCCCTCCCACTGCTGATAGATCCTCATCTGGCACGTGCTCCACCCACCCACCCCATTCTTTGCTCCCACACACTGTAGCCCCATCACAGAAAATGGGACATGGGAAAAAAAACTGTGTCCACCCTAGTTCTTAAATTTGGGCAGTGATTCAGGGGGTAGGTTAAGGGATTTTTAATTTGCCAGATTATATGACTATGTTGTTGAATGTACAATGAATCTATGGTATGACAGCAGTTTCTGGATAAACATTACTTGAGATCCTATAATGCAGAAGGGAAAAAGCAACTTTTATCAGTTGCCTACTTTGCTTTCATTTCATCTCTAATATTCTGGATGGGGAACCATCCAAAGCTTCTGACTGCATGAAGGTCAAGTGTGCCCGTGTGCAGCTGGCTTTCTTTTCCAGAATTAAAAGTATTTTGGGTGGTGCTGAGGGTCAGAGGAAGAAGTAAAGATTGTAAGAAAGGAGAAACATGGGCTTGGGGAGAACCCAGAATTGGGACAGAAGACCTGGCACTAGGCTACAGCACTTAGCACCTCTGATCTTGTTTTTCCTCATCTGTAAAAGGAGATTACCAATGCTTTTCTGCCCACCTCTTCAGGAGAAGGGAATAATTGGTTTAAAAAAAAAAAGTTTTTAAAAATAAGCACCACTGACTTTGTGTAGCCAAGCATTATTAATTATCCACCCCGTATCACTGGTAGATACCTGTATTCAAGTTATCTGGACATGAAAGCCGTCACATTTTAGAAGTCATGAATTTGGTGCTAATAAACCTAATCTACAGAAAAACTCCTGAAAGCACTTGAGCATTTGTTCTGTGAAGAGAAAGGTTTGAATTCAGAGCAAGTTCAGCGTTGGATGGTCTAAGCATGGAAAAGCCCTCCATTCCATTAGAAGAGCCAGGCAGCAATTTCTGGTTATGGAACCAGAAGCTCTCAGGCTTCAAATAAAACAGCATCACTTGTATTCTTATAAAACTATAAAAACAAAAACCAAAACCGGACCTACATCTGTCCTACAAGGCCGAGAGTACTCGAGACCTCATGGATATAAAACCACCTTACAGGGCCGGGCGCGGTGGCTCAAGCCTGTAATCCCAGCACTTTGAGAGGCCAAGACGGGCGGATCACGAGGTTGGGAGATTGAGACCATTCTGGCTAACCGGGTGAAACCCCGTTTCTACTAAAGGATACAAAAAACTAGCCGGGCGTGGTGGCGGGCGCCTGTAGTCCCAGCTACTCGGGAGGCTGAGGCAGGAGAATGGCGTGGACCTGGGAGGCGGAGCTGCAGCGAGCTGAGATCCAGCCACTGCACTCCAGCCTGGGTGACAAAGCGAGACTCCGTCTCAAAAAAAAAAAAAACCAGCTTACAAACTACATTGCACTGTATGAAGAAATTATCACTGGGGGCAAAGCACCAAGCAGACAGCACAGTACCCAGTGTGTGGATGTTAATGTTACTCCCTAGCCTTCCCATTCCTTTGTTTTGGTCCTTTGTGCATATGGAACAGTTAGTTCTGTTATTAAATTTTGTAATCATAACTGAGAACCTGACTCTCAGCAAGGGAATAGTTCAGAAATTGAGGGAGTTTAACTCTGAATGAGTAAATAAAAATAAAGCAATTATATCATTAGCTTAAAATTTTATCATTATAAATAAAAAGTTTAAAAAAAAATACTTAAAATAATGTAATAATTGATCTCCAGGCAATTTGGACTCACGACAATGTATGGTGTTTGTCAGACATGCACTGTTGCAATGCAGCTTGACTGTCTTGCAGACAGCCTCAATGCTGTTTTTAAATTGGCAGAGGCAGCAGGCCATATGGCTAGGTAAGATCCTATAGATGAAAACAAAGAACAATAAATTAGTGGTAAAAAGGTTACTTGAGTAGGTAGAGGAGGCAGGCCAACACTACCACAGGGGTGGGCAAAAAGGTGTTATTGAAGCTTATGGATGGACAGTTGGGTAGGAACCAGAAGGCCAATAGGAAGGAGGACAAAGGTGCCCAACCGAAGGGTAAGCATGGCAGTGAGTATGGTATGCCTAGAATAAAGGTGGTTGAGATTAGAATTGGGTGACACTGATCAGTAGTTTAATTCAGAAGTATCTCTTCCCAACTCAAAAGTCTCACTTTGGGCTGAAAGTACACAGGAAGAAGGTAGACTTCTAAGAAGAGTCTGAGTAAGTCCCCAACTTCTGGAGGCCCTTTCTCAATTCCTGTTGGGAGTGGGAAATATAAATTACTCTGGGCATTAAAAATAGTTTAACCTGGATTGTGGGGTTAAAAAATAACAGATAGCATTGGTCAAATCTGGACAATTCCATCATTCAAAAGAATAATAACAATAAGTTACAACATAGTTAATATAAAGAAGAATCCATGAAGAGTGATATTCAAAAAGAAAGAGGGGGAGTTTTTCTTTAACAAAATAGTGCCAGCTAGTAAATGTAGAAGGAATGACAGAATTTTTAAAAGTGTCACTTTGCAACCACCAATGTAATAAAAATTCGTTCAGACAAGGATTATCACTGATGCACATTTGGGTGAAAAGACATTTGAGAACAGGATCTTCACTGAACTCAAAGTACCAACCCACAGATTATTTATTACCAAGGAGAAAATTAGTATTTTTTATGAGACAAGGTCTCACTCTGTCGCCCAGGCTGAAATACAGTGGCAAAATTATAGCTCATTGAAACCTCACCCCCACTGGGTTCAAGTGATCCTCCAAATTCAGCCCCCTGAGTAGTTGGGAGTATAGGCTTGCACCAGCATGACCAGCTAATTTTTTTTTTTTTTCATTTTTGTATTTTTAGTAGTGACAGGGTTTCACCATGTTGCTCAGGCTGGTGTAGAACTCCTGGACTCAAGCAATCCTCCCATCTAGGCCTTCCGAAGTGCTGGGATTACAAGTGTGAGCCACTGCACCCGGCAAAATAATTACAATGGAGAGATCTGGAAGATCACCTTAATCAAGTGATCAAACGTAGTATTACAGGCCACCTGCGGTTATGAGGCAGGAAGGATACATCACCTATGCAGTATTTTTCCAAAAAACCTGAACTTGAATCTCATCATGAGGAAACCGACAAATATACATTGTGGGACAATTTACAAGACAACTATCTTTGACTCTTAAAAAATCCCAATGTCATGAAAGATCAAAGAAAGTAGAGGAATGTTTTAGATGAAAGGAAACGAAGACATGACATGCAGTGCCTGATCTTCGATTAGTTTCTGTACTATTCTTTCATCTTTCTGGCATGTTTGAATTTTTATTCAAAATGTAAATTTGGGAAGAAGAGATAACCAAGACAATTGATTAGTTTATTGTTATGGCTTATTGGGGGCAGTTTCAGAGAGATAAAGACAATCCCTGTAACTGGAGTAAAAGGTTAATCTCAGGGAGTATAGCATGGTCATTAAGAATACAGATTCCACAGCCAGACCAGGCTTAAATCCCAGCTCTGCTAATAATGTAAATTTGAGCAAATTGCTTAATCTCTGTTTCTCGGCCTTGTCATTATAACAGTACCTACCTCTAATGAATTTTGAGGATTAAATAAATCAATACCTGAAAAATGCCTGGCACACAGTGAGTGCTCAATAGCAGTTAACTACTATAATTATTATTTTTTTTTTTTTTGAGACGGAGTCTCGCTGTGTCTCCCAGACTGGAGTGCAGTGGCGCAATCTCGGCTCACTGCAAGCTCCACCTCCCAGGTTCACGCCATTCTCCTGCCTCAGCCTCCCGAGTAGCTGGGACTACAGGCGCCCGCCACCACGCCCGGCTAATTTTTTTTTGTATTTTTAGTAGAGACAGGGTTTCACTGTGTTAGCCAGGATGGTCTCGACCTCGTGACCCACCCGCCTTGGCCTCCCAAAGTGCTGGGATTACAGGCATGAGCCACTATGCCTGGCCAACTACTATATTATTATGTTGCAGAGGTTGTGGGGGGCCTTTTCTGAGTCCTCCAAAAGGATGGCTTTATTAGGGCCACATTAAGACTGTGGAGACAGAAGAGTGTTTCATGGATACATGAAGTCTATGAGTTGGGGGTACAATGTATATAGAGTTTTAGATTAAAACTGCATCCAATAAGTTGGCCTGACACATCTTTCAAACCTACAGAGGAATAATCACAAGTGACTAGTATTATTCCTTTGGGTCCAGTGGAAGCCTCTGATCTTCATGTGGAATGGACCCAGAACCGTACCCCAGCATTTTATTATACAGCAACCTTAACTCTGACACAAAGGTGTTTCTTTTGTTTGTTTTGAGGCCGGGTCTCGCTCTGTTACACAGGCTGAGTGCAGCGGTGCAATTTCGGCTCACTGCAGCCCCTGCCTCCTGTGCTCAAGTGATCCTCCCACCTCAGCCTCCTGAGTAGCTAGAACTACAGGTGTGTGCCACCACGCCCGGCTCATTTTTGTATATTTTGTAGAGATGGGGTTTCACCATGTAGTCCAGGCTGGTCTTGAACTCCTGAGCTCAAGCAACCCTCTCTCCTTAGCCTCCCAAAGTGCTGGGATTACAGGCACGAGCCCAGAGGTTTTGTGTTATTTTCCTGCCCCCAACTTTTTATTTTAAACATTTTGTTTTTTTCCTTTAAGCCTTAGGATGGCTGGAAAGCATTTTTGAATGGTATAATGAACACCTGTATAACTTTCATCTAGAATCAACAGTTGCTAATACTTTGCCACATTTGCTTTCCACGTGTTCTGGACAAGCCATTTGAGAGTCAGTTGCAGACATAATGACCCTTCATTAAATACTTCAGTGTGCAGCCCCTAAGAACCAAGGCATTCTCCTACATAACCAGAATACTATCATCACCCAATGGAACTTAATATTATCATTGTTTACTATGTAGTCCATATACACATTTTTACAATGTCCCAGTCATAACATGGCTTAAACAAATTCAGAATCCAATCAAACATCAGACATTGCACTTAGTGCATGATTCTTTAGTCTCCTTCAATCTAGAACTGTTCCCAGGATTGTTTTAAAGTATACTGACAAACCTTTGAGACTGTAAATGACCTGAGGTGTATGTTATCCTTACTTGAGAATAATTTTTCAATACGCATTAAAGATCATTACACATGAGCCAAGACTCAAATGCACTGGCCTACTTACTTTGTATATCAATGTGTAAACTGAAGACTTCCAATAACGAACTCCCATAAGGCAGTTAGTTCAATGTCTTTATGGCCTTGGTGACAAATGGTTACAGAGAATGAGAGCTTTTTCCTATCCACTAATGGTCAAGAAAAAAGCGGACATATCCTCACTGTCTTAGAGAACCAAGTGAGAAAGCTGGTCGATGAAGAGGACTTCATCCAGAGAGGAAGGGATCTAGCTGACAGGGAAGATGCTGCAGGAGGCTGAGGGAAGTGAGGCTAGAGCAGTAAAACAGATCTGACAATCTGGTGAAGATAAGAAAGTGACCTGACAAAAATGAATGGAGCAGAGTGTGAAATGAAGGGCCCTTTCCATGCTAATCTTCTATAATGCCCTCAACCAGCCTTAGCATAAATGAGTTTCTATTTAGCTTGCCATATGGTGGGGTGGTGGCACTATTTAAGTTGCAGTAATTGTGTAACAAATTCACAATAGGGCCCTGCAGGCATACACACACACACACACACACACACACACACACTTTTTTTAAAAAAAAACAGGGTCTCGCTTTGTCACCCAGGCTGGAGTGCAGTGGTGCCATCTTGGCTCACTGCAACCTCCACCTCCTGGTTCAAGTGATCCTCCTGACTCAGGTTCCCTAGTAGCTGGGACTACAGGCGTGTGCCACCACACCTGGCTGACATATATATATATATTTATATATATATATATATATATATATATATATATATATATATATATATATATATATATATATATATATATATATAAAACCTGCAGAGAAGGCCAGGCACAGTGCCTCATGCCTGTAATCTCAGCACTCTGGGAGGGTGAGGCAGGAGGATCACTTGATACCAGGAGTTCGAGACCAGCCTGGGCAACATTAGTGAGACCTCGTTTCTACAAAAAAAATAAAAAATAAAAATAAAATTGCAAGAAAAAAGATACCTCACATCATATATGCAAATTAACTCAAAATGGATCATAGACTTAAATGTATACAATTTCTGGGAGAAGACATAGGAGAAAATCATTTCGTTGTTGGATTAAACAACAGGTTCTTAAAGATTTCTTAGGTAAAAACCAAAAAATTACAAGCCATTTAAGAAAAAATTGGTAACTTAAAGCTGATCAAAATTAAAAACTTCTCTTCAGAAAACATTTTTATTTTTTACTTTTTTTTTGAGACAGAGTCCCACTCTGTCGCCCAGGCTGGAGTGCAGTGGTGCAATCTTGGCTCATTGCAACCTCCACCTCCCAGGTTCAAGCACTTCTCGTGCCTCAGCCTCCAGAGTAGCTGGGATTACAGGCGTGGGCCACCACACCTGGCTAATTTGTGTATTTTTAGTAGAGATGGGGTTTCCACACAACTGGAACACTACTCAGCAATAAAAAGGAGTGAACAGCTGTCCCTCGGTGTCTGTAGGGGATTGGCTCCAGACCCCCTGCAGATACCAAAGTCCACAGATGCTGAAGTCTTTTATATGAAATGATGTAATGTTTGTATATAGCCTCAAGTATACTTTAAATACCTAATACAGGGTAAATGGTATGTAAATAATTATACTGTATTTTAACTTTTCTACTGTTTTTATTGTTGTATTGTTGTTTTATATATTTTATTTTTTCCAAATATTCTCCATCCATGGTTAGTAGAATCCATGGATGAGCAACCTGCAGATATGGAGGGCCAGCTGTAGTGATGAGTGCAACAACGTGGATGGTAGCAGAATCTCAAAAAAACTTATGATGAGTGAGACCAGGCGAGGTGGATCACATCTGTAATCCTACCACTTTGGGAGGCTGAGGCGGGCGGATCACTTGAGGTCAGGAGTTCGAAACCAACCTGGCCAACATGGTGAAACCTTGTCTCTACTAAAAATACAAAAATTAGCCGGGCGTGGTGGCATGCGCCTGTAATCCCAGCTACTTAGGAGGCTGAGGCAGGAGAATCACTTGAACCTGGGAGGCGGAGGTTGCAGTGAGTCTAGGTCGTGCCGCTGCACTGCAGCCTGGGTGACAGAGTGAGACTCTATGTCTCAAAAAAAAAAAAAAAAAAATGCTATGTGAAAGAAGCCAAACACAAGAGGCAACATGCTGTATGATTTCATTTATAAGACATTCTGGAAAAGGCAAAAGTATAGGAACAGAAATCAGATTAGTAGCTAACAGGGGCTAATGGTGGGAGGAGGGGCCTTTTTGAGGCATCAGAAATGCTTTATATTGGGAATGTGGTGGTGGTTATATAACTATACATTTGTCAAAACTCATCAAACTGTACCCTTAAAAAGGGTGAATGTTAGTATATGAAAATTACAACTCAATAAACCTGACTTAAGAAAATAATAAAACAAACCTAAAGAACCAACTAAGTGAAAATAAATCTAAGAAGAGAATAACTTACAGTTTTTCCAGTTCAACAGTCATCGTGAGAATGTTCTTAAGTGTTGTAAGTGGAACTTGCGTTTTTCCCATGTCTCTGAAGAAGAAAGTCGAAACATTCATGATATGAACCCCAATAAAAAATTCTGTACTTAAAAAGGCATTTCAAGGACATGTGATTACTTCAATTTTAGTTTCTCTATAAAACAAGCCAGCTCAAGAGTTTATTTGCTGTAGAATTCCAGGGAGCTCTTATTAGAGAAATTTAAGTTGATTTGCATCATCAAATTCATGATATTCAAGAGCAGAACTTACACCTTTTTCTTTTTTAACCATTATCTTCTCATTTTCAAATTGCATTCACCATTTTATTTACTCTTTTTTTCATTTTTAGAATAATGAACACCTTTTCCCCTTTGCTTTCTTGGTAAATTAATATTCTTCCATGTGTCTACATGTTCCAAATCTATATGGGTTCTTCAACACTGTTCTTTTCCCTTGCTGGCTTAACAATTATACATCCTCTTTAATTTTTTTCTTTGCCAATAATTATGACATTTTAGCCTAAATGCAAAATACTTAAGCTTTGATAAAATTTAAAAAGCATAAATCATCTCATGACTCGTGAGAGCACTATAGTACTTACAGATATTTTAATGCTGGCAATTTAAAGAGATACGGATCTTCAACAGTTGTCAGAGGATTGCGATTGAGAATTCTGAAAAATGGAATGGAATTAAAATAACCTGAATATTCAATGTGAAAGAAACTGCATGAAAAGTTTATATTCATTTTTTGCTATAGAACTTGTAGGTAAAAAAGAAAAAAATGTTTTCTGTTTATACCTAATAAATCACCATTAGACTCTGTAAAGCACTACTCCTCAGGGAACTACCCAGGTCTCTAGAAGTAGAGGAGAGAACGAGGGGAAGAACTACAAGGGAAAAAAAGTGGATAGCAAAGAAAAACTATGCCACAGAACTTTTCAGGTCAAAAAACCTACAAGTGACTATGTTAGTAGGAAGCCCTGACTGTGTAGGAAACAGTATTTCTAGTGTCCTCCATAATTCAAGTTGTTCATCTTTTTTTTTTTTTTTTTGGGGGGGGGATGGAGTCAAGCTCTTGTTGCCCAGGCTGGAGTGCAATGGTTCCATCTCAGCTCGCTGCAACCTCCGCCTCCGAGGTTCAAGCGATTCTCCTGTCCTGCCTCAGCCTTCCGAGTAGCTGGGATTACAGGTGCCCGCCACCACGCCCAGCTAATTTTTGTATTTTTAATAGAGACGGGGTTTCACCATATTGGCCAGGCTGGTTTTGAACTCCTGACCTCAGGTGATCTACCTGCCTCAGCCTCCCAAACTGTTAGGATTACAGGCATGAGTCACTGCAGCTGGCTGCTTGTCTTTTATCTTTATAAAGTTTTTTAAATTTATGGTTTAATTTGCACAGTTAAAAAAACATAGGACCAATTCTTTTGCTTTATACCCAAAGAAAAAGGAACAAATCTAACAGGAGGAACTGGTCAAAACCCTACTCCCACTTTCTTCTTTTATGACATCACAGCCTTTCTTACATTGCGTGTAATCACCTGTCCACTTGTCGGTCTCCCGGACTATGAGCTCCTTGAGGACAGAGACCACTTTTTTTTTTTTTTTTTTTTTGATACGGAGTCTCACTATGTCGCTCAGGCTGGAGTGCAGTGGCGCAATCTCGGCTTACTGCAATCTCCACCTCCCGGGTTCAAGCAATTCTCCTGCCTCAGCCTCCCGAGTAGCTGGGATTACAGGTGCCCGCCACCATGCCCTCTCATCCCTGTGCCTGGCATGATGTCTGAAATGTATTAGGCATTTAACAAATGTTTATTGAATAAACAAATGACATTTTGTTTATATGTCAATAAAATGAATAAATTGATTTTGATGCAAATTATTATTCCAAAATGCTGGAATCGATTTTCTGTTTAATTCTTTAAAGTGAACAAGAAAAAGAAAAGAAACAGGAATAAAAGAAAATCTGCCTTTAAGAATCATCATTGTACTTCTGCAGAAATTATACAGATAATAATTATTACAGTGAGTATCTACTGGGTTGCCAGGTATTTGGGATCAGCATTTCACATTTAATCCTCACGATAACCTTATGTGGTAGACATTATTATTGCCCTATTTTTAAATGAGGAAACTGAGGCACAGAGAGGTTATATAACTTGTCCTAGGTCACCCAGCTATTAAGCAGCAAAGCTGTAATTTGAACTCATGTGTTTAATCTGTATGAGAAAAGGGTTTACTTTAACCTTACTTTTTTTCTAATTTTTATTTTCGTTCTTCATTTTTTCTTTTTCATTCTCTCTCTTTTTCCTTCCCTCCTCCTTAATTATTTCTATTTTCTTTCCTTCCTTTCTCCTCTCCCCTCCCCTCCTCACCCAAACAGGGTCTCACTCCATTGACCAGGCTGGAGTGCAGCGGCATGATCTTGGCTCACTGCAACCTCCACTTCCCAAGCTCAGGTAATCCTCCTTCCTCAGTCTCCCAAACAGCTGGGACTATAGGCATGCACCACCATGCCTGACCAATTTTTGTGTTTTTAGTAGAGATGGGAGTTTCATCATGTTGGCCAGGCTGGTCTTGAACTCCTGCTCTCAAGTGATCCGCCTGCCTTGCCCTCCCAAAGTGCTGGTGTGAGCCACTGGCCCAGCCTTAATGTTGAGAAGACTAAATACAGAAATGCCTTTCAACCTTCTTCTACTCCTCTGGGAGGACCTCTATGAGAATTACAATTTCTCATTAGCAGTTCACCGCCACGCTTGCCTGTAGTTCCAGCTGTTCGGGAGGCTGAGGCAGGAGAATTGCTTGAACCCGGGAGGCGGAAGTTGCAGTGAGCCGAGATCAAGCCACTGCACTCCAGCCTGCGTGATAGAGCAAAAAAAAGAGAATTACAGTTTCTCTTTTTATGTCTTTCCCCTAATCATTTCCCATGATTAAATAGTTAATTAGTCTATGGTCAATGAGACTTTTTTTTAAGGGACACATTCTCACTCACTGTGTTACCCAGGCTGGAGAGCAGTGGTTATTCACAGGCACGATCCCACTAGTGATCAGCATGGGAGTTCCGACCTGCTCCATTCCCGAACGGGGCTGGTACACCCCTTTTTAGGCAACCCGGTGGTCTCCTGTTCCCGGGAGGTCACCATACTGATGCTGAACTTAGTGAGGACACTCAATCAGCATAGCACGCTACAGCCCAGAATTCCTGGACTCAAAGGATCCTTCTTCCTTTGCCTCCTGAGATCTGGGAATACAGGCACGTGCCCTGTGAGCCTTTAGAGATTTAAAACCGTGCTGTAACTGACAGGTCGGGGAAGACCTACTAAGTTCATCAACTCTCACCCCTGGCTGATCTTGAGGTTCTGCAAAAGCAAGAAGTGAAAGCTAAGGCATGGCTGTAAACTATCTGGCTGAGTGCTGAAGGTATGCCCCAACATGTACACAGAGCCCCTTGGCAAAAACTAGGAGACTTATCAGTTCCAAGAATTTAAGTAAACCTCCATTTAATCATTAGCTGATCGGTAAGCTAACCAAGAAGAGACTTCAGTGGCCACACATGATATATAACGCAAGACTTTACTGAAGAAGTTCAGAAAAGTCACTAAATAAATAGCAACTACTAACACAAGCAGCAGTAACACCAAACCCTGGGAGCATGGATCTGATTTTCAGAATTGCTATATTATATTATTTAAAATACTCAATTTTCAACAAAAATTTATGAAAGATGCAAGAAAACAAAGTATGGTCCACACATGTGGTGGGGGCGAGAAATAAGCAGAAATTGTCCCTAAGAAAGACCAGATGTTAGACTTACTAGACAGAAAAAAATTTTTTTTTGTAGAGGTGGGGACTTGCTAAGTTGCCCAGGCTGGTCTTGCACTCCTGGCCTCAACCTCAGCCTCCCAAAGTGCTGGGATTATAGGCACAAGCCACCATGCCTGGCCTAGAGAAAGATTTAATTCAGCTATTTAAAATATGTTCAAAGAGATAAGAGAAACCATTCAGTTCTGTAGACTAGAGAACTAAAGGAAAGTATGAAAGCAATGTCTCATCAAATACAGAATATCAATAAAGAGATAGAAACCATAAAAAGAAGCCAAATAGAAATTCTAGAGTTGGAAAGTATGGTAACTGAGATGGAAAAATTACCAGAGGTTCTCAATGGCACGTTACAGCAGGCAGAAGAAAGAATTGGGAACTTGAAGGTCAATTTAGATTATTTACTCTGAGGAACAGAAACAAAAATGAATGAAAGTGAATGGAATCTCAGAGACCTGTTTGTGGAACACAGCATCAAGCTAACTAACATACACATAATGAGAATCCCACAAGGAGAAGAAAAACAGAAAAAAGGAGAAAGAACATTTGAAGAAATAATGGCCCCAAACTTCCCAAACGGTATGAAAGACAATCTGCGTATTCAAGAAGCTCAAGAAAGTACAAGTAGGAAGAACTCAGGGATCCACATCTAAACATACTATAATCAAACTGACAGAAGCCAAAGACAGAATATCTTGAAAGCAGCAAGAGAAAAGCAACTCATCACATACAAGGGATCCTCAGTAAGATTAGTAGATGATTTCTCTTCAAAAACAATGGAGGTGCTGGGCATGGTTGCTCACACCTGTAATCCCAGTACTTTGGGAGGCTGAAGGCTCAAGAATTGCTTGAAGTCAGGAGTTGGATACCAGCACAGGCAATATAGTAAAACCCTGTCTCTACAAAAAATTTTTAAAAAGCTGGCCGTGGTGGCGCATGCCTGTAGTCTCAGCTACCCAGGAGGCTGAGGTGACAGGATTGCTTGAGCCTGGGAGGTGGAAGCTGGGAGGTGGAAGCGGTGAGTGGCTGCACCACTGCACTCCAGCCTGGGTAACAGAGGAAGACCCTGTCTGAAAACAAAACAAAACAACCACACACAACAGTGGAGGACAAAAGGCAATGAAATGGCATATTCAAAGTGCTGAAGAAACTGTCAACCAATAATTCTATACCCGGCAAAACTACCTTTGAAATAAAAGAGAAATTAAGATATTCTAGATAAATAAAAAGTGAGAGACTTTGTTGCCAAAAGACCTGCCCTATAAGAAGTACTAACGTGAAAAAGAAATAAAAAGCACTGGCCGGGCGCAGTGGCTCAGCCTGTAATCCCAGCACTTTGGGAGGCTGAGGCTGGAGGATCACTTGAGGTCAAGAGTTTGAGACCAGCCTGGGAAACATGGTGAAACCCTGTCTCTACTGAAAATACAAAAATTAGCCAGGCATGGTGTTACGTGCCTGCAGTCCCAGCTACTCAGGAGGCTGAGGCACTAGAATCGCTTGAACCTGGGAGGCAGAGGTTGCAGTGGGTCAAAACTGTGCCACTGCACTCCAGCCTGGGCAACAGAGCAAGACTCTGTCCCAAAATAAAGAAAAAAAATAAGAAAAAGATACTTACATAATGCAATAATTATAAATCTAGTTGATGAACATAAAGTGTATAAAGATGTAATGTGTGACAATAACAGGATAAAGGAGGGGGTGAGAGTGGAGCCTTAGAGAAGCAAAGTTTTTATATACTATTGAAACAAAGTTGGTATTAATCTGAACTACAATGTTATAAAATTAAGATGTAGCTGAGACCACAGGTGTGCACTACCACACTCGGCTAATTGTAAAAAAAATTTTAGAGATAGGG